TATATATATATATATATATATATATATATATATATATATATATTAAGCTGATCATAATCACAAATGAGAAATGTTGCAACCACATCCAAATGTCAAATGTATATCCAAGTTTAATACTTTCATGTTTCATCGTTAGAATGTATTTTGTAAAGATATATACAATGTCATAGCTCTCATAATCATACGATAATAACACAAGCAAGATTAAAAGGTAAGAGATTGCAAGTTTTACCATAGCTCTAAGTATTATTATCAAAAAAAATAATTAGAAAACTATACAATTACAAATATTACAAAGTAACGAGGACGACCCTGAGGTAGTAATAATGGGGTCAGTGTTACTTTAGAACCTCCGTCTATTTATCATTACTGCATATTGCTGTAGGATAACCCTAACTAGAGCTGAAACGCCAAGCGCTACAGAATTTCATCTCTTCTCTCACAAGGCTGTTTCTGGTTCCGGTTCTAAAATGTTATGATATTCCAGCTTAGTCATCTCCCCTCCTTGTGCTGGATCAAATTGGCATCGATAGAAGCTGCATAAAACAAATCAATAGCAATTCATTGACATCATATAACACAAGGGTCCACCTTCTTTTGGGATATAAGCATACCAAAAAAAATATAAAGTGCATAGATATATGGTAAATGATTTGTCAAAAGAGCCATGAAACCAATGCAACACATGTGAATAAAAATATAACGGGGAAAAAAGTGCTTTCAGCTATCTTCTCGATTTAATCATCAAGTTGAATTTGGTAGCTTTCATCTTATCTTAAGAATAAAAAGTATGAGATGAGTAGCAAACTAAGAATTCTCTAGTTCAAGACAAAGTCATTCTTCAAAACGCCTAATCGGTGAAAATTCAAAGAGCAGAGTGATAATAAAAAAACATTATTGACCTGTTTTACATATTACAATAGAATCTGGCGTCCAAGATAAACAGAATAGCCATCAATAACAGCTTAGAGAAACAGTATTTTGTCATTTCCTCAAATCATACCTTCCATCCATGCCAAGAATTATGACTGTATTCTTTTGTTGACCAAATGCAACTGTGTACTGAGTGCCCTCTTGTAAATGAAACTGAGCAACTGACCACTCAGAATTGAAATACTTGGGCAGCACTCCTGCAAGCACAAAGTATCAACGGAAACGGAAATTGAGCATCATTTCTTTTCCTAACTGACAAAATATTTTTGAAATGAAAAAATAATTAAATTAAATAAACAGTCAGAAACCATAAATCACTCCATAGACGGTCAGCATCCAATCTGTATTTATTCTGAATTAAGAAGCCTGACTTAATAGATCAGTTTTCAAGCATTACATAAATAAAATCAACCTCACCCAAAGGCCACAGTACTTTGCATACACAACCAAGTCACTTCAAATTCTAACATCTCACACTAATCCAAAATTTAGTCCAAACCATTAGTTTAGTATTATAATGTTTGATCATCCATTTAAATCTTATTAAAAATAATCCTCCATTAATAATTTAGCATTCAAACTTCAACACGGGAATGACAAAAAGAATAGGCTACAAAATGGTAAAAAGGATTTTGGTTAGAAATTAACAATTTCAATACTACAGCATGTAAGCTAGAAAATGGAAAGAAAAATACTCACAGTATACCTTTAAATTTAATGAAGGAGCGAGATGAGTTTGATGGGGTAACGGCAGCATCAGAATTGGATGAATTTTGTGACTTTTCATTCTGAGGGATGCTAGAATTAACCTTGAGACTGAATACATGAACAGTACCCTTGTCACTTGAGACTGCCAGCCACTGAGCAGTAGAAGAGAATGCCAAACTATAGATCTCTGCTGCATTCGCACCCCTTCTCACCTAAATATGACACAAAATAAATTAACACGAGAACCAAAATGTTTGAAATGGTAACACAATAAACTACAAAAGTTTAATGGTGATACACTCACAGTGTAAAATAGTTTTACAAAATCAACAAATTCACAATCCACCTAATAATTTTGTTAACTTTTACAATAACCATCTTACAAGTCATACATAATGTGATTTCTGATTGGTTGACTATGTAAAATATTTTTTACACTACCGGTAACCAACAGAAACATTACACCCTGAATACATCATATCTAACAAAAAAAGTAATTTCGTATAGTAGGATTTTCTCAAGTGGATCCAATAGCAAACATCCAGCAGTGATTAGTTTGCTATATTCCATAGAAAATCCATTAATAGAAAGGGCTGAAACAGTAACATATTACCAGTCCAAATCTGCATCATAAATCACCAAACCGGTCAACATAGGAAAAAGGGATATTTTCATTTTCCTGTGACCTGTCCTATTTAGTACATAACTTAGCTAGGGCTTCAATTTCAAAGACAGTACACTATTCAACCACAGATCATGCAATTCAACAACAACGCCCAAGAACATAAACTTAATTCACCACCAATCAGCAATTCAAGCAAAAAGATAGAAATTAAAGATAATAGGCGTCAAGAAAAGAGAAACACGAAACAAGACTTACTTCTTGAAGAAGCGTGCCTTGATCGGTATCGAAAATCCGAATCAGCGTGCCCTTGGTGCTGGCGGTGGCGATTAACTGCCCATCAAGAGTGAGGGCGAAGCAAGCGATTCTGGAATCATGCGCCGAAATGAACTTGGTCTTCTTCTGCGCGTAGTGCTCTACGCGAATCTGACCCTTGTGCAAACCCGGGCACGCAAGAACCAAAGAATCCGACAAGTGGGAAACCGCGCAGAGCCCCTTAGGGTTGAGAAAGGTCTCAATCTGGTGCACCAGTTTGAGGTCCACCAAGTTGTACACGAATATCTTCTGCTCCACGACAACGACAATCCTGTCGCTGCGGAGCCTGACGCCGCGCACGGCGGCGCGGAAAGAAAGCTCGCCGATGCAGCGACCCAGGTGGTCGTCCCAGATCATGACTTTGTTGGGAGGGTACTGCGGGTGGGACCCCCCACCGACGAGGGCCAGAATGTTGCAGCGGAAGAGCATCTCCACTTGACCGATTCCACCGTCGTCGAACTCGCGGCGGAAGAGCTCGCGGAAGGGGTTGCAGTCGTAGATGCGGAAGCCGTTGTCGGCGGCCGCGGCGAAGCAGGCCTGGTCCTGGTTGAAGGAGAGGTGGAGGAGCGACGGAGGCGGCGTCGGGGAGGGTTCCGGCGAGGCAGCGGCGGGGGAGTGGTGGGGCGGAAGCGATTCGGGTTGCGGAGGCATGAGGGAGTCGAAGTCGAGGGTTTGGGATTGGTCGGGGATGAAATTAGGGTTTGGGTTTGAGTTGGGAGTGGGATTAGGGTTAGGGTTTGGCCAAGGAGGGGAAGTGCATTCGGAAAGGGTGGCCATTGGAGGATGAAGGAGATTGATGAATTTGGAAGAAATGAAAATATTCTGAGCTTCACTCTCCCGCTAAGCACGCAAGAAGTATCACTCACTGTGTCTTTTAGTTTTAGTAAACAAATAAATAGTGTTGGATAATTTTTACTAGTTTGTTAAGATGCGCTTTAGTTTCGGAACACGCAAATTCAAAAACTGAAAGGTAATAATAATAAATTTAAAATTAAAATAAAAATAAAAACGCCGTTGCCGGGGATCGAACCGGGTCACCCGCGTGACAAGCGGGAATACTCACCACTATACTACAACGACATGATGTTATTAGGATGGTTATACTTTTAAAATTTTCCTGTAAATCTTACTCGCAGTCCTTTATCTGATATATACTTGTGAGGGCACAAATAACAATGAGTCTGTCGTAACATGTAATAAGATAGATAAAAATTTATTTTTTCTAAGTAGTTATTTATTTAATGAGTATTTGTAAATTTTATAAATATTTATATATTTTTTATAAATAAAAAAATATAATAAAAACTTTAAATATAATATTTATAGTTTCTTAAAAACAATTTATTTTTCATGGAAGAAAAAAAATTGTACACAATTAAAAAAAAAAAGTTTTCCCAAACATGCTTTATATAATTGATCTAGTGATTTATTTATTTATTTATTTTTTTGAAATCCAGCATGATAAATTAACTCATTTAAAACTTTTTCTTTTCACTCGATACACCTCGGTAGTTTTTGAACAAAACATATTTTTTTTAATATAAATTGTAAATATTTTTTATTAGTGATAAGTGACAATATTTTTTCTCCAAATATTTTACACAACCATATATTATTTAATTAGTGGAAGCACTAACGCTCCTCAAGAAATTCTATAGGTTATTCATAATCGGTGATAATTTTTCCTGTATTCATTATTTTTTATTGTAATATATAAATTTAGATATCCACGGATTATTTTTTTATAACTAATGTTAGTCAATTTATTTTTACAATGGAAACAGGTTTTTAAAAGAAAAATTAATAAATGTGTTACAATATAAAATATTTTTTTAGTAATATTTTTATTGAAATTATGTGTATATATATATAATATACAAATAAAAGTATATTTATAAATATGACATTTTAAAATTATTATGTAAACTAAAATTACATGAAAACATGTGCGAATATAAAATTATTTGAATATAAGTCAATATTCATAACTATGATAATATTATTTTTAAAAATATTTATATACATATCTACAAATATATAATTATATGAAATGTAAAAAATTATTAAAAGCGCATAAACATTTCATTCTTTCAATCTACCATTGAAGTTAATCATTAGTAATTTGTTTAGAAGAATGAGAGTAAATCTCAACTATGGACATAAAGTTTTTGAAATTCAATTTATGATGGTCGAGGTTCAATATAATTTGTTCACCATTTTTGGTACAAGGTAAGGATTGTGTGTGATTGTGTATTTGGTTAAGGTGATCGATTCATTTTAGAGTGCATCGAAAGATAAATTAACATGTAAGCATCACCCAAGGCATAACTTGTAACAATCATTTCCTTGTTGCTACATTTAAGAAAATATATGAAATTAACTAGTGCAAAACTTGCACACGAAACTTAGAATCTTTAAGAAACTCCAAAATCCATATATAAGCTTCCTTGGTCATTACTATTGGTTTGCCTTATTGCTTGCATCAATCATGGAGATCAAAACTGCTGATCCATTATTTCATGTCAAAAGCATGAAAGGTGTCACTTTTCTTCTCCCACCTCCTTAGCGTATGTTGGTTTTACTATTTTTTTCAAAAATAAAAGAATAAATATATGTCATTTTAAAATATAATAATTTAATACTTTTTTGCCATGTCTGATAAATATTTAAATTATTTTAATTGTTTTTTAATATAAAAAATAACGATAACAGTTTGATAGAAAAATTACATGTATACATCTTTCTTCCATTCCCAAATTTTTCTCAATTCTTTTTTGGGTTATATCTCTTAGGAAGAAAAGCTCCACCAAGTCACTACTCATTCAAAATCATGTCTTTCTCATGGCTATCCAAGGCCTCAATACAGAAGTGTGCCTCCGAGGAATTTGAAGCAGGGGGTTATAAATGGTATGTATATATATGTTTTAAACATAATGTATCTCAAAATTTGAAAACTAAAAACTATTATGTTTACACTTTTTTCCTTCAATGATTCCTTTACCTTTGCTCACATAAAAATCCAACATTATAAGTTAATTACCACCTTCAACTACATTGTCAACAAACATGATATTTGCGTTGGGACTTTGCTCGATTTATGTTTTTCCATCTTTTGTATATTATGAATCTGATGCTCAATGGATGTACCTGCAGGAGCCTTTCTATTTACCCAACTGGTAACACAAAAGGGGGTGGTCAAGGTCATGTTTCTATTTATTTGGTGCTCATTGACTCAAGTTCGTTACCCGTTGATTGGGAGGTCAATGCTGTTGTAAATTTTTCTGCATATAATTTTATTGACGATGAGTATGTTATAACTCAAGGTATAGTTGGAGTGCAGTAATTTTAAACTTGACAACATTATACACCAATAACTAGCTAGCAAGATTGTTGAAATTTTTTGTTATTACATTTAGGTTGCAATCAGTAGAAATATTTTTTTTTTCATGGTATATACATCTCTCTGTAGCATATATATACATATACATCTATTAATCTTTGTCTGAACTTCGACAGTACATCCTTGAGAATCCAAGATGTCTTCAAGTTTTGATATCCGACCCTCACAATATTCAAACCAGAGGTACAGTTTTTTAACCAGTGATGTTGTCATCCCAAAAATCTTTGGCTTTTCATTAGCTTGGTGATAAGATTAATTTCTTCTTTACTTGTGTTTAAGGATGATTGTCAATAGCTCTATGACATTCATCAACAGTTCCAAAAAAATGTATGTTGATATTTATTTGTTTAGGAAAAAAAATAACAAGCTACATTCAAAGTGCATTTTATGAAAAAATCATTAAATAATATTTTTTAACAAAATATTCAAAGTGCACTCTATAAAAATATTAGTATACGTATATAAAAAGATATATTTGAAATGAATAAAATTCACTTATAATATTTGCACTTCTCAAAAATTAATTACAAGTGTTGCATCAGGAAATTCTCTTGTTGTGTTAAAAATAATTGCACCAGTTCATTCAATTAAGACTTTATTATCATTTATGCCTTCAAATGGGGTATAAAAAAATGTAATAGGAATAACGCATAACTTTAAATCTGGGAATATTGATGAATGTTATAGAGCTTTAGACAACCATCCTTATACAAAAGTAATGAAAGAATTTTATCTCCAAGTTATTAAAAATTCAAAGAATTTTGGGATGACAACATCATAGATAGGTAATAAAGTGTTATCTCTACTATGAATTGTGAGGATTAAATATCAGAATAACTTGAAAGCATCTTGGATTCTCAAAGATATACTATTGAAGATTAGACAAAGGTGGAGATATAGTTGTATCATGTCTACTACAGAGAGATAGATGTATATACTATGGCCAAGAACGATTTTCATATTTAAGTTTGAAACCAAATATTGAAGCATTGTGGTTTGAGAGTGATGCATTGTTATCAGAAAATAAAAGTTGCTTAGCAGTAGTTAGACTGAAACTCATATTCTATAATATGAGGATTTTATTTTAGCGACCGTTATAATACTTTAAAGATGTCGGAGGGTTATTTTTATTTATTTATATATATACATTAACTTTATCATTAGTTGGTGTAAAATACTGTATGATATTTTGTTTTACCTTAACTTACATGTTAGTGAGTTGAACTACATGCAGATACAAATGTAAGGCGTTTCCATGTGCTGAAAACTGAGTGGGGTATCGCAAAATTCGTTGACATAGACACTTTTAATGACCCTTCAAATGGATACTTGATGGACGATACCTGTGTGTTTGGAGTTGAGGTTTTTGTTGTTAAGACCATGGATAAAGGTGATTGTTTGTCAATGTTTCATGGACCTATCACTTGTTCCCATAGCTGGAAGCTTAACAGATTTTCCTTCGCAAATTTAGACGAGTACGAGTCTGAATCATTTGTCGGTGGAAACTATAAATGGTATATACAAATGCTTTTAACTTTCTTATTGTTCAATTTGATTGTTGATTGAATTGAATGATTAATTCTTTAGTATAGATTAATAATAAATTGATTATTTCTTTAAAATAAGTATACCGCACAAGTACTAATTAGGCAAATTATATTTAAGATGATACATGAAAAAAAATGGTTCTTCATATATATTTTAGAATAATATATGTATTTTTTATAAACTAAAATAATCATAAATTAAAACTAACTTGATATCTAAATATGTATTTAAAAAGTAGATTAATGTTTATCGCAAGCTTGAGACCAAATTAATGTTTAACTTTTAGAGGTAAAACTTTATACACGGTATATTTTAGATGTAGAATTTAAATATTTATTGTTGTGATGTTCTTAAGCGGGAGCATAAATCTCTTTATATATTCTTCGGAAATTTTTATTTTTATTTTTATTTATTTATTTATTTTTTTCTTCAGGAAGCTCCTTTTATACCCTAATGGACACGCTGAGGGAAAAGGCAACAGTGTCTCGCTGTTTTTAACATTGGAAGTCTCAAGTTTGCCCCCTAACACTAAACTCGTTGTGGATTGCACTTTGCGCACAAAAGAACAAATTGGTGCGAATCATGCTCAAACAAGATGTGAGACCATTTTACCTTGATTACAATCTCAACTCTAAGAACACTTTAATTCTGTTCGGGATATATTTTAGAGAGTTCTAGATCATTAAATACTATAGTCTTAATAAATTTTTTCATTGCACACAAATGTGTTCTTTTTAAATGCTAATAACACATTTCAATAATAATAATAAGTGTTAGAAAGAG